TGCTCTCTAAGGCAGACTGTAGCATGTTGGTGTTTAAACATCATTGCCTTTGAAATATAAATGGGAATATGACTTTACATATTATAGCCTGCACATGTGGATATAGATACACAATGATGTGTGTGTGTGTATACACACATGTACATACATGTATATATACACGCACACATATGTATTACTATTGTTTAACTCTTTTTTTCCCATTGTAGATGAGTCCAGAGGGAACAAAATATTCCTAGCTTGGAGATTTCCACATCTGCCCTTCAGGCAGCTCTCAGACAGGAACAGCATGGCTACATAAATCACTGTAAATCAGCACATTTTTCAACAGCACAAAGCCCTAAGCACAGAGCCACTTTAGACCGTGCTGCTCCATAGTTTGTTCACAGACCTCCTGTGCCACCGGCAGGGAAGTCAGACCGTTCTATTCAACATCTTACAGTAACCAGATGCAGGATAAAGAAATTGCTTTTCAAAGCTATAGTCTGCACTAGGCTTTTCCAAGCAAAACAGTGATATCTAGCATCCATCTTTTCTCTTTTGCTTGTTTTTCAGGCCTCTTTGGCCTTCAGCCCCCTACGATGAGGTGTTATTTTCCTGTTTTGCAAGCAGGCTTGAACTTCATTGTAGCTTCTGAAGCAGTAGTTATCACTTGGTCAGAGGGAAAGTCTGTATATCAGTTAGAAGGGGTACACAAAAAGTAACAGAATAAAAACCTGTTGTCAGTATGTTTAAATACCTACTGTCAGTGGAGGGTATATAGGTCCAGTGGAAATTGAAGGGGTCTGTAAATTGAAGAAAGTTTGAAAACCTCTGATGGACAATCCAAATCTGTGAACTTCTATCTCTTTCTTTTTCCTAGTGCACAGATTCCAACCGATCTCATAGAAGAGAATGGAATTTCTCTCTACATATAGAAAAGAAGCAGTTTCTGAGTCTTCCGCTATAGTAAGAAAACTTACATTAGGCCAAAGTTAAAACAGGTTCAGCATAGGTTGCTTTGAGTTATGCTTTGTGTGCAGCCTGTTTGTGTTAAGGATGTCACTGCAGGGCTGCAAGTAAGCTTTCTTAGAGTTAAGCTGGCCCAAATAAAAAAATAAATGAAATCAAATAAAACCGAAAAAGAAGTTGTGGAACCCTCCCCTGTCTTGCTTAGATTAATCAGACAGTGGCCTCTGACCAAAGGCAATCCACAGCTATGCACTATATTTTGACATGTAGAGCAGAGCGTTTCCCATTACTGTTTAAAAGGCTGTGAGCCAGATTTAATAACTAATCTTTACACCTCAGCCTAAGTGCATCTGTTGTCAGCTTTTCCCCCAATGGAGGGAGATGCCTGCACTCTCCATGGCCAGACTGTAACGCTCATCTTGACTCTTCTGCTTTCTTGCACTGGCAGTTGGGCTTGTAGATGTATCTAGTTGTTGACTCTCTAGCCATGCACCATTTTTCTCCCAGTATACTCTGGGATCTGCATAGGTGGAGAGTTGCTCTGCACTATAGATGGTTGCATCCCAGATTTGTGCATTGGGAATGCACAAATGTCCGTGTGACTCGGTTTCATCTGAATACCTTCTCTGTCCTAGCGGTGATGTGGCAGCAGGATGTAGACCCAAGGGAATGACACTGAATCCATGCATGAGAGTGGATAGCTTAAGGTAAAGAGAAGATAAGTGTTATGCCATAGCAATGAACAAGTTTATGGACATGTTATTTTGATAAATGGTTTAACAGCACAGTAAAGAAACCATCAAATGCCTACTCTTGAGGTACTGGAAAAACTTTCTCATGGACTGCAACATGTTGCTTGTGGTTGAGGAAATAAGCATCCTGACCATCCACAGCCCAGATTTGTCTTGTCACAGGTCTGTGACAAGATCAAAGCTGAAAGTGAAGCAGAGCAGAAAACAGAGTAGAAATAATTTTCCCCAGTATAAGCAAGGCTTCAGGTATCTACTACTTCATACTCTGACAATTCTAGTGTTACCAAACTCCAGTAACGGAGGGATGAAAGATTGCTGGGACAACAGGGGGGCATGTTTCAACGAGTATTAAGAGCCTTTAGTGTGTGACATATGAAGGAAAATACTGGAATTCCATGATGCCTGAAACACATGACAGTAAATAATATTTTATCAATGCTTCTATTTGTCAATTTGTCTATTGAGTACACGCAATTTATAGTGACTTTGGTTTTATTAACTGAGGTAAACTTAATAATCAAGAATTTTTCTGCTATAGCACCATTATTGTTTGTTCTTCTCAGAAATCTTACATAAGATTTTAAAGCAGTACCTAGTAAAAATTTTTATAGTATTAAAATGTAAAGCAGAAGATAAAGCAACTCCACTTGAGGAGTCATGCCTGTTAATCTGTAGCATAAGCTCAAATTTGTAGTTGAAAACAATTTTCTGAAACTTGACTAGGCTTGTTTCTGTGTTATTAGGGGCAGGAACACCTCTCTGTTAAAAGTGGTTTGCTTTTTAATAGGGTTTAACCATAATTTTCCGGTTTTTGCTGGTTGTTCAAAATTCTTCCATGTCACATTGGTCAACTATTGGCTTCATCTCAGTTGCTACCAGCATTCAAAAAAATGCTTCTTTAAGCTTGTCTTTCAGTGAATCACATGTTTTTACAATAACAGATTTGTTTGTTAAATGAACTTAAAGACAGAAATGGATGAGCTACTATTCAGGGTGAGTCACCTTGTGGTCCATCTAGAACCATCTTTCTCTCCCTCCAAACTGTCCTATTTTAATCAAAAGGAGTATTTTCACAGTAAAGTACAGCTCTAAGATGAGTATCAGTATGATCCGAGTTTTTGTGTCACTGACTCTGCTTGTTTCTGTTTAAACAAATAGTAAATCCCATGAGAAATCTCATAGCCCTTGCTTATTTCAGCATTTCTATTAGTTTTGACATATTTATCTATTCCTTTGGCTACATGTGAGCAAGCAATGCTGATTTGGACTTGTATCATCTTGTGCTGCTGTAGTAAAGATGACAATGGGGTTTTTTCTAAATGTCAATAAAATACTTTCTATTTTTTTTAAGTACATTTGCTAGTCTTTCTTTTATGCTATCTTTTCTCGCAGTTACTTGCCTTTTTGTCCTTCCTGCTCTTAAATTGCTCAGTTACACTAGCTTGGTGGAAATTGTTTTAATGTACAACCCAAATTCTCCAGTGAGGTTTGGCTAACCAACAAGCTATTCAAGTGGTTTTGTCTCCCGGGTATGTCTTCATCCTCTGCTTTTCCAGGTTGCTTGAATATCCTTGAACCCATAATTTAGCCTAATCTCCTCTAAGGCTTTGAAATAATAAAATACTTAAATAAAACTCTTTGGATAAATGCCCTTTAAAATATAGCTTTATCTGTGAACTATCACACTCTCAAGGGAGTGGATTTTGTTCCTCAGAAGATTAAGGGGATTTTCTGTCCACCATGTTACTGTGGTTTGTCCACTGCGATCAGACATACCCATCTTAACTCGTGCAACAACTCAAAACACAAAAGAGGAGAAAAGTCTGGGACAAAAGTGGGACAGAGGCTAGACTGTTGCTCTGTGTGATTTTTTTTCTGATGCCTGGATTCAGTTCCCTGGTCTACCACATGATTTTCTGTGGGTCACGAAGCCTTCCTGTGCTTTTGAAAAATAATTCTCCGCTCAACGGGGATGTTGCTGAGGATAAATTAAGGGTGGCAAAGTGCCTAGCCATTACAGAGGGATAGTCTTATGTATACAGAAAGGCTGTACTCAGATGGGAAGAGGGATGTCACTTGACTTGCCATAATGAAATCCACAGGGGAAGTCTGAGGCAGAAGCAGGGGACTGGGTCTAGTTTTTCTGCCAGAGGCCTCATGTGGTCCATTTTTCCTTGAAATGTCCTTCTCAGAGTCCTGCAGATGCTTCCCAGGCAAGAAAGGGAGGCTTGAAGGACCTCACCGGGGTGAGCTGCAGCTCATCAGGGCACCTGGTCAGGCCCTGGACACCAACGTAATTTCGAGATTGATCCAAATCATGGAAGCTTGGCTTCACTGTTGCTCATTCTGCAGGTAAAGGGAGATAACTTCAATTTTTCTCCCTTCCCACTCAGTTCAGCTAATTATTAATTTCTGTCAGCAAAAAGGATCTGCAGAATAGCACCGAAGGGAGGGAAGGAAGGAACATTTCTTCCCCACTTCTGAAGCTCTGTAGCTAAATTCCAGGACTAAGGGTTTAGGGTTTATGCGCTAATTATTGTTAAAAATGAAAAATTGCTCAAAAACATCGGGAAAAGGAAGCTTTCCTTTTTATGTTACTGTGCCAGTAAAACATAAAAATTCTGGTCAAAATACAACCACGTGACTATTATTTTAAAGTAATATCTTTGAGGTTGTCTCTCCATTTTCAGGCGTAGTCTCCAGAAAGGCATCTGTATTTCTTCACATTAAGTGATAGGAAATGCAAATAGACCACAGTTTAAGTATGAAGATTAGAGATTTATGACTCTATACATTTTTTGTGTAATAAAATGCAGGGAAACTATATGTAGCAAATGTTTTCTGAATTTTTTAGCATGTACTACTCTTTTCTGATCAACTACTACTCTTTGTCCTCTTTTTTTTGCTTGAAAATTTCCTCCTAGTGTTCTTAGTTTCTAATCCAAAGTTCAAAATTTTCTGTACCCAAGGTTTATGATGATGAAGTGGCACCAATGAAACCAGTGCTTCAGCTGGATGGAGACCTTTTCTCAGGTGCCTCCTAATGCTTAGGAGAATTATTATCTCCTGGTAGCTATATGCCTTGCTTAATTTTGTGCTTATTCAAAAACAGCAAAATGATAGAGGAATGCATCTGAGGACTGAGTTCACCTCCTCCCCAGTCCCTGCTTTTCAGGAGCTCGTAAGATAAAGTAATATCTTTGGTTTTGGCCGGCTCGCAGTGGCGTCAGAATCAATTAGTTTTTTGGCAGCCTGTTTCAGGATGAGCAGCTCCTGCTTTTCACAGATCCAAGGACGATGCCAAACTCATCAGCCGTGCCTGCAGTCTTGGGGTGGAGGGATGAACAGTTAGATCAGGTTCAGTGTGACTTCGTGGCAGAAGTAGAAAGGGGAACATCTGTTGAAATTCATAATGGGAACAACCTAAATTACTTCTGTCAGCCTATACCCACTCACTGTCTTCTGGAGATGAGATTGAATTTCTGATAAAGGGAGAACGTGTGCTGCAGTGGGCAGAACTGACAGGGTTTGAGTAGCAGGGGCCTTGCAGGGTTCTCCAGTGTGAGAGGAGGACATGAACTGCCCTGTGCCAGTCCAGAAAAAAAAATACTGTAGCCCACAGGTGATCCACACTGGCCTGAGGAGAGCCCCCAGGGACTGTGGCCCATGGGCAGCCCATGGTGGGGCAGCGACATGCCTGAGGAATTGCAGTCATGGACAACCCATGCCAGGGCCCAGAACATGCTCAAAACAGCAGTCAGAATTTTTCGTTGGTTGGTAACAACTTAAATAAAATTGACTCCAGACTGTTTTGCACACAGCCTGATTCAGGTTTTGTCTTTTCTGCTTGCCCGTGGTGGGGCACTTTGGAATGGCAGCTGAGACTCCATCATGCATGTTATGAGCGGTGTCGGTGGAAAAATTGCAAGCTATAACGTTTCCCTCTTTAATCTTGGCATATGTTTTTATAGGCAAGCATATGCACAAATACAAATATTTCTATAAAATATATCTGAAGTTTCTGCTTTGTTGAGGAGTCTTTAGATTTTGAATATGGGCATTGCAAGAATAAACAATCTGTTGTGTTTCATAATGTGCTTCATAAGGTTCTCCTACCTCACTCATTTTCTCTTCAGGTCTCTTGCACTGCCACTATTGGACATATTATGGGTATAATTTTAGATTAGTATCGATGTTAAAAATCCTGTTTGGATCTTAGAACAGACTTTTCAGCTTGTTATTGTAGACTAGTTAATGTATAGCTAATAAAATAGACAAGTTTCCATTGGTGTCTTCTTTTTGTTGTGAAGCATATTTCTGCCGTCACTGGTTTTGCTCTGAAGACTCCAACCTGCTGTTTTCAGCTTTGCAATGGCTGAAGGAGATTCAGAGATTTCCCAGTGGTGATAGTGGAATTAGTGTATGTTGCAGAAATGTTGCAATCACTACCATTTCAAAGCAGCAGCTGAATAACCTCAGATATAATGAATCAGCTATTATTTGAATAGAGTAAGAAAGCAAAACTTTCTTTTCAGTTTTGGGTAATATTTATCTGTCTTCCCTGTGGAAGGGGATCACAGAGCAGTCTTCACATGGGAATAGCATTCCTACAGCATTAATTTATTTTTTCTAGTTTTTGAGAGTGGACCAAGACAAAGACAGAGAATGCAGCCTGGACTGTGCAGGTTCCCCTCAGAAATCACTCTGTGCATCTGATGGAAGAACCTTTCTGTCCCGATGTGAATTTCAGCGAGCAAAATGCAAAGACCCTCAGCTGGAAATAGCCTACCGGGGCAACTGCAAAGGTGAGCAAATCAAAGTTTCTCTTGACCATAATGAAAAATAATAGACTTTAAATAGTTTTTGAATATGTCTGTGTATTGAAAACTAGGAGTGCTGTACTTGAAGAGTTGTCTAAAAACATGTAGATTGAAATCCATCCTGTTAATTCTGTAACAACAGCTACATAAAAGATAAATTAATCTTTATCCATTTAGCAAAAATGAGACTCCCGTGCCCACTTACACTATAATAAATCACTATTAAGGAAATTGTATGGTCTCTGTTCTGAAAGACCATTATCATTGATAAGATCAGAGTAACTCTCAAGATTGTTATCTCCCTTCAGTTTCTTGCCTACTGTAGTTTAATATTTTGAGTTACAGATGGTCAAATTCAGTCTTGTGTTTCCCAATTGCAATCCTTTAGTTGGGGGGGAGAAAAAAAATAATCTAACTGGTTACTGTTATTTTGTTTTTTCAAAAAAATATAATCCCCCAACATAAGTATGTAGACTTTGTAGGATTTTTTTTTACATAACTAAAAAACTGAAAGTTGTGTAAAACTTTCAGTTTTACCCTCAAATATTGTAATTCTGAAATTCAGTGAATTTGCCCTCACAGAGCAGTCCTACCAACACCATCTACCCTTTTACTTCACAGTTTAGAGAAACTGTGCAACACACAACCCTAGCACTTCAGTTCCAATACATATAAAGTATTCACAGTTGAGTACTTTCACTTTTAGAGTAGCCTGGTGCAAGTGAACACAGTTCCTTATTGAAGTGTAGGGTGATTCCCAACATAATGATCTTCTTTCTAAAATGTAAGAATAGCGGTGGTCATAAAGATTTACTTTCCCTTTCTCTCTGTCCGAAAGAGAGGGGCAGGGGAAGAAAACCCCAGGGACCATACCAATTCAACCTCTAAGAGGCAATTTTCCACATCATCTCTCTCCATTAGCTCCAGCAAACCTCTGAAGCATCAAGACTGCTTCAAAGAGACATTCTGTCTCATCTTCTGCCTAGATGAAACACTATGCTCATTCTTCAGCCCTTTCATAATAAGCCATTGTATTAGCTGATGGATCTATTTACTTTTGCGAACAAGGATAACATAATGAAGCTACCTGAGCCAAAGCTTTTGTTACACTCATGAATGACAGAGAGAATTATCATGCACTTTGTATTTGTTCATTTTATACTTTACAGCATTATACACTTTTATGAAAACTTGTGTTGCAGAGTGTTTTTTTTTTTACCTCTTACCATATTGACAATGTCATCTGCAAGAATTTTTTTCCATAAGGATGCATTGAATTGCCCTACTGACCATGTTCCCAGCAATGCTGGCAAATTTTTCTGCAGTCAACAACTACTATTTGGAGAAGTGCTCATTTGCCGTTTATTTATTAATGAGGAGTGTGTCAGTACAATTGCAGACTTGGACTGAGGCAGCTTAAGTATTGCTAATAGCAAGTAGGCATCATGCCCTCATCAATCAGATGCTTTTAATCTTTCAATTAAATGAATGCAAACATCACTCTAATGTTTAAATATTTTTTTCCTTTGATTGGCAACAGACACATGATTGCCAATAATATACTTGGTCAATATCAGCAAGAGACCGGTGCTCATTTAATTTTACATTTTCATAGTATTTCTTATTCAGTCAAATCAGTCTTAAATTTTGAAGTGACCAGTGTCTTGTTTCCTACCCATGGCTGCAATCATAAAAAATATTTCAAGCTGTAAAAACAAGTTTTAGAGAAGAAAAAGATGATTTGCTGGCCTAGCTGCAGTTTCAATTTTAGCATTGCTAGAGCTGCTTTTGATAGTCGCATCAAACATTCTTCTGAAAGAGCTAAGGAAGTCCTCAGATTAAGACCTCTTTTGAGCCAGTTGCTTTTGAGTGGTGAAATTTGTTGTTGCAGGTGATGCTTGACCAAAGAGAAGAGGGTTGTTTTAGTAGGGCTAGCCAAAAAAGTGATGGTTCCATTTCAGGGCAGCTTTCAAGGTTTCAGAACTTGTTTTCATTTCGTGTTGGAATGAAAGCAAATCCTTTTGGATGTGTTCATCTGTCCCCCTAAAAATCCAGACACCCCACCACACCCCCACTCCCCATTAAAACATTGTTTTTGAAGCAAGTTTTGAGGTTGCTAATGCAGGAAAAAGGAAAAGAACTTCCACACGCAAGCATGCATGTTTATGAAGGGAGAAAAGATGATTCCTGGTATATGATTCACACCTTTATATCTGTGTCTGATATTCATCCATCATTTATCAGAAAAGGCAGTCTTAAGTCTGTGTCTGTCTCCTCCTCTCCTTCTCAGGTAAAAATCCCTGTTCACCTCACAAAAATATTGTCTGAAAATTAAATACTTCCAGCTACCATTTTAATTAGTTGAAAACATGGTGACCAGCTTCTTGTTTGGTTCAGTCTATTCAGTAGAAATCTAAATACCATGACAGTTCATGTTGACAACCTTTTGGAATACTTTTAAATCTGTAATTTTTTGTTTACATATTCAGAACTGTGATTTCTTTTTACATCCATAAGGGAGTTTGAACCACCACCACCAGACTGATGGCTGATTTTTCTGTGTCTTTTTTCCTGAGAAGGTCAAATTTGGATTGACTGTCTTCTCTCCTCCTCACCTATTCTCAACATTTGTCTCATCTATTTGTCTTTGATCTATTAAATACTAAAATTACAAAGGGATAGTTTGCTTGCTTTCCTTTCTTAATTTAAGTTTCGTTTACAGCAACAGTGCTCAGTCCAGATAATTCTTTAGCATTGCAAAGGAAACCATTTTTAGATCCTGGATCTTAAAACTAAATGACAGAAAACTGGCAGAATTTAGGCCTTTTTCTTTTCTCACACTCCTGTCTTTCTAGTTCCTGATGGCTACAGCGGACATCAAAACAGCTGAAACCAACCTGAAAATGAATGGAAATAGTTTTCAGTTCTGAAAAGCAACTCACCTATGTCAAAATAAGCATCAGATTAGACAGTTCTGATAGTGGGCTTTTCTGAAGACATTACAAAGGTTTATAATTTTTTTTTTCTTTTCAGTCCACTTCCAGGCAGTGCTGGAATCCATTGCTAAGCTTGGAAATGCTATAAGAAGTTACAATCTTGTAAAATTTACAGCCTGCTTTTGCATTTCAAAGGTCTTAAATAACCTGCATACACTGTAGGTGAACATCCCCATTTTTGGACAGTTTTTCAAACAAAATCTAAACTCTGATGTTCTCGAGATTTGCCGCTTGCTTGACCGAGACATTTAACATGCAATAAGATTATGAATCTAATAAATAAATGTATGTTGACAGCTGAGAAACATTAGTTGTGTTAGGAGGACTGTTAAAGTATCACCTGTGATGGGGATCCACTACATACACATGCAAATGCTTCATAGTAAATCTGACCCAGCATAGTCAAAGAAACAAAACAAACAAGAACTGGAAATGCAATATGATTGCTTTTAAGCTGGTCAGAAAGACAGAGAGGCTACAGTATGCACAGAGCCACCTTCTTTTAGGGGTTTAAGGCATTTCAACCTGAGAACCGAGCCTAGTTACTCTTACAGGACTGCCCTGATATATGTGAGAGTAGATTATCTCATGATAATGAGACTACCTGAAACAAGTTGTTTTGGTTTTTTCACGGAGCATCTTATACATCCCATATGAAGAAGTCTGGCTGTTTTGTTTGTTTTGGTCCCACCCCCCCCCTCAGTTGTTCAGAATTACTGTGTAAAATTTATCACTGTAGAATGGCATTGTAGAAAGAATATTCAACTTTTCTATTGTCATAAAAATTTTGCATTATAAATACAGAAAAAGGAGAAAATGCTCCAACTAATTTCTGCAGACTCCTATCAGTTTCCCTGATGCTAAAATCAATAGAATTTTTCTATCAGGTTTGCTACCCTACTTATTCCCCACTATTGAACAAGATTTTTCCCATGAACTTTGAAAATGTGAACTCATATTTTTCCTGCAGCAGTTCTCAAATAATTTTAGGCTTTTAAAATAGTTTTCCATGACAGTAAATAACATGTATTAACTGTTAAACCTGAAATTATGATGCTGGGTGGAGGCGTGTGGGATTGAATTTTTTTTTTTTCAGTGAAACTGCCTTTTTTGGACATGACAACAAGCTTTAGTCCTAGCTAGGTTAGTGGAAGATTTTCCTGCGGGATCAACTGAGTTTTTCAGAGTTCCCCTTGGACAGCTTTTCATCTCCTATATCAGCAACTTCAGGTCTCAAGTGTAGAAAGTCTGCTAGCTGCTTGCATCTTGTTCAAAGCGAGCAGCATCTGTAGAAGTGTCTAGTGGAACAACTTCAGTTTTTCTCCGCAATGGACCATCAAGCGAACAGTGACTATTTGCCAGCAGCAGTTCAATTTGCAGTTTTGCTAATGGTGTAAGGGTGAATTGGAACAGGTGGCACTGTAGTTAATCTGGGGCAATTTGAACTTTATTTAAGCTCTTCTTTTAAGGAGGAAGGTGAAGAGCATGTGCAGTGCCTGTGACTGAATTTTGGATGTCTGTGGCTACTGGGAATCTTTCACCTAAACAACAAAGCCTCTATCTCCCATGGAGATGTCTCTCTTAAAATTAGCTAAGAGGAGTTCCTGTTGGTTTAACTAGAGTTTGCCCTGAAAGTGGTCTGCGAGCATTGCAGGATAATACACTCAAAAATACCTTTTTTTTTTCTTCTTTGTTTCTTCTTTTTGTCATCTTGTTCCTTAAATAACATTAAGAATGCTTGTTCCCTTTCTCTGTTTGTTTTTAAGTGAATGTACCAGGCCCGTAATTGGGGCGTTGGAGACTACTATTCTGAACGTATTAAGCAAGTGGCTCAGTAATAATACTTGGTATTCTGACATTGTGATCAATGGAAAAACAAATTCACATGTACAGTCCTGCCAGCGTACCTCTGCCCTAACCTACAGTTCTTGAAATGTCCCGGCTAAGGTGCTTGGATTTCTTGGCTTCTCTACCAGTACTTCACTAAAA